GTAAATCAGAAACACTCATCTCCAGAGACTAACTTCAACAAGCACACAAAGGAGGATCAAGACACAGTATCCAGTTAACAGATTTAGACAGTAGCAATTGGGACAACATAAAAGGGGTAAACATTGGACAGCAGATAAATTCTGTAGTGCAATAGTTTAGAAAGAGCATACGGTACTTGTTCTAAAGGGAATCTTGGACTCTGTAGGGTAACCAAGAAGCTCATGCATTGAAAAATAATTTTAATTTGAAATCCTGTTGTTAAACAAACTCAGCCATGGAGGAACAGGAAATGATAAAACAGCATTGCAGTTTTATCTCCAGTTGACTAAATCCTAGTCCTTATAGAGTATGATGAAAATTTAGTTCTGTGTATCTTAACATAGAACTCTCAGTTATCTTCTAGGAGCTTCAAAACTGACTTAGATGCCATAGCCCATGCTCCTAAGCCCACCTCCTAAAGGAGGTGAAAACTTGGAGCAATTGATGGTCTAATAAAAGGACCTTGTTCTGGGTATGTGGGTTAGTGAGCAGTGGTGTTTTGTGTATACTCATCCTCTGTACTAACGCAGTCTATGCTCTGTGGGGAGCTGGGGGACACCATCCACAGGGCTATAGATGGCAGATTAGATTTTGGTCCTACTCAATACTGTAGAGTAAATGCATAATCTTTAACTGCTGCCTGTAAACCAGGATCTGGACCACAACTGTTGATTTTAGCAAGCCTTAATCCTTCATCTAATTTTATTTGTAAAAGTAAATAGTTTATTGGAAAGCATTCCTGATGGCAAATTTATTCCCAAAGGCCATGGCTTACCTAGAAAGAAGTAGAGGGAAAAACATAGGAACTAGAATAAAGAATTGAAAACTAGAGAACACAGCATAATTGAAAAAAATATTAATGATTATCAATGAAACCATTTTTGGTTGATTAGTAATGAAATAATCAGTCCATAGAACTAAATGTAAAGATTTTGCATATCTGCCATCCTTCCTAGGCTTGAATATTCAAATAGCAGCAGGGTTCTATTAATTTATCTGCAATATCTAGTTTAGTGTCTGACACAAATGTTAATGTTAGGTCATGAGAACTAATAGAAGTGAAAGGCAATAGCTGATAGATAATTGATACACACAGAGACAGAATGAACTTGTGCCTTCTTGGTGGCGTAAATATTTTAAGTTGTGTTTGGAATACTGGTTAGGGAGTTCTATTTTAAATGATTTATTATTCTATATATTTTTTTTTCTTTTTGGTTAAATAGTGCTTTGAAATACTCAATAGTTTGGAATATTATATATTTAGTTAGACTGATTCAGGGTCAATTTCAAATAAAAATGTATAAAACCATTAGATCTCTATTATATATTTTTCGAACTCATTTTATTTTCTCATTCAACAAATTTTCACTGAGCATTTACTATGCTTATATACTAGTGACACAAGGAGTTCTTAATTTAGTGAATTTGACAAACAATATATTCAGCACAGAGAATACTTTATAACACTTTTTTTTTTTCCATAGCATACCAGGTAAGAGCAGAGGAGAGGAAACTTATCTAGGGACAGAGGGGATGGGAAAATGAAGCCCTAAAAGGAACTGCTTAACTTCCATTGTGACTCAGTCAGGCAAGTAAAGAAAAACATAGGGAGGAAGGCATTGCAGGTAGCAGCCATATTCTCATAAACTCAAAGATTGTAAATAGTTGAATGTTTTGTCAAAGCCTGTTGGAATGGCTGATTGAGAAGAGTGGCTGGCACCTGCTTCACCATAGATCCACAATAATCTTATTACTTGGATATACTTATTACCTTGAAGTAAGTGCATCCATAAGTTTTAAAGTAGATGAGTAGGGTCCTCCCCCGTGGTGCAACTGGTTAAAACACAGCACTACAATGCTAGCTGCAGCTTCAGAGCTAGTTAGATCCCCTGCCATGGCAAGGGAGGTGACCCACACGGTGCAGCAGACCTTTCCTGACCTGCCTGCTGCTCCCCTCAGCAGTGTACTTCGTCGATCTGCCTGTTCTGCTCCCCACTCTGTCTCTGATGAACCCTCTCATCCCCCAAACCTCTGGCCTGTACCCCAATTCTATATGCATAAATAAATAAATCTTCAAAATATAAAGTAGAGGAGTGTCCTCTACTCTAAGGTTATATGTAAAAAAAAAAGATAAATAACTTTGGCAGTAAGTAGAAAGTATGAATTATGGAAATAAGAAATTAAGGAAAGGACAATTTTTATCATTACAATATAGGGAATTAAAGAAGTGATGCCAAATAATTCATTGATTGATTTGATGTGGGCACAGCATCTTAGTCTCTGACTTACATAACAGATTTTGTTTTGTGTTTTATACAGAGTCCAAGAGCTTAAAAACATAACTAAGAACTGATATTTAGTCGTAGCTATAAAAAAATATGACTGAATTATCAGTTCAAATACTGTATGTATATCGATGCTCAGTGGATATTTTCATATAAAATTTTAACTCATATATATCTTCAAGTTATTTATATATAAAGAGAGAGAGAAAGAGAGAGAGAGAGAGATCCATCTATCATATCTTATTATATGAGAGAGAAAGTGGTTGAAGTTGTGGTGTCTTTCCCTCTTGTCATCCAGTGTGAATCCTTTCATTACTTGTCTATGGTTACTGAATATTTTCAATATTGAATATTTCAGGTCTTTTTCTGTATTCTAGATCAGATCATTTCCCTTTACCATAACAAATGCTATATAGCAATGACTGCAACTAGGAGACTAGAGAGTAAATAAAAAATAATGGTAGAATCAATTAAATTTCTCAGTTAATTGGGACATTTACACCTGGGCAGAACTAGGATTTTATTTCCATAAAATTTTGTCAGTGCCCAAACCTACTACATAGTAGTACTTCTACTAGCAGGAATTCCACTGTTGCTGTAATATGAGATTTACTGATGGTTTTCTGATAGCTCTATCACCTGAGGATTTCACCCTGACTTACCTGTATGATTGTTCTTCTCACGTAATCTTCAGTCCTTCAGCCAGCAGCCCTTAATTGGTCTTATTGAATAGAGAACAATTGTCTGATCATACATTCATTTTGGTCTCCAATATATAAGGGGTGGCTAGATTATGTAAACAACATCTTATCAAAGATATCAAATATATTGATGAGTTGTTTATTGTTAGCATAAGTTTGATGTGCTTAAATCAAATTCATTTCTTATCTAGTCACTTATGTCCATAAAAACCAATCTGTTGAGCTTCAAGTAGTCTTTAGCAAACAATTTTATTCTCAAACTCTCCTGAAATTTTTACCATATGTTTAGCAATCAACTACATTATAACAAACGTGAAATTAAGCATACTTAACCATATCACTTAGCAAAGATGAAATATAGAACAATATTGAAAAAATAATGAAAGAATTATAAAATGGAGAAAAGAGAGAAAAAAACACATAAAGGATGCCTACAATGAAATGACCAGAAAGATCAGGGGAGAAGGAATTATTAAAATAAAAACGAGATACAAGAGGTAAACAAGTCAGATAGAATATAATCGAAAGAAGGAAACGTAGCATAAAGTCAAACACTTGGTTTGAGTTTAAAAGCAGAGACAACAATCCTGTTCTGACAGATTGGAAAGAAACTGGGTCAACATTCCCCAGTTGATATTCCCATCTATTTTATCTTCAAAGATAGTTTCAAATATTTTGCTTGGGGAAAAAAATCATCCGTTCCAATTTTAGTTCCCACTTTTGGAACATGTTATCTTAGCACATTTGAGATGGAATTGCTTCCCTTACTATTTCTATCTTCTTATTTGTCAATCATAAATGGTATACTCAGTCTTTCACAACCGTTTTTCAGGAAAACACTTAAACCAATTATGTAAGGTTTCTGTATGGAAAATAAGAAAATAAGTGACCTAGATTTTCCTCCCTTATTTCTCTACTTAAAATAAAATTCAATATAGATTATTCTGATGTGGGGATACATATTTATGCTCAATATGATTGAAGGCAATCCAGTTACTACACAGACATATGAAATAGTATTTCCTGAGTGCAGCGTCACTTAAAAGTCGCTCTCCCTGTGGAAAGACTGACAGTGCCTGGATTCATTACAAGGCTGCCATAAACCTCTATCATTGCAAGTTGAACACTCACTAGAACACTCTCTACATTGTCTTACCAATGGACCGGACATGAATTTATTCAAAAACTTTCTTGGACTAAGTGTAATGGTCCCTAGTTTCTGATAAATAATTACATTCTTCCATACACAGTGTAACACTTGCAAGGATAATAGTGTAGAAGTCATTAAAAATAAAACAGAACATTGAAGTTTGCTATAAAGACTCCATAATTGTTCCTGGGTGATTTGGAACTATGATAAAACATGACTACTAGAAAGATTTGCAGGAGGAAGAGTTATTTATTTACTCTCCTTCACACTGCTAGATTTTCAATTAGATTATGTTTGTCATTCTTTCCAAAATGTTATATAATGGATATTATTTTATTAATTAAACTGATTCCTTAATCCATGCCAACACTATTATAAATATATACTTCTTGTAACAAGTAAAAATAAACACCATGACTTTGGGAGTTTTAACCTATAAAAATGTTATAAGAATGTATATTATTTGACACTATCTACTAATACTGTTTTACCATTGCTGGAAGAATACAATGTACTGTGTATGTTCTATTAGTTATCCTCCCACCAACTCTGACATTAACAAAAATTTCTGGTGCTTATTGTCTGGAGAGTCAATTGTTCAAGAAATAAAGTAAATTCTAAGCAGGAGTAGCAGTAAGAAACAAATGGATCAATTATCCTGAAAGTTGGTGTTACAGTTAAAGTTGAAATGAGCTCCAAAGATAATTTGTAGGGGCTCTGAGGTTCAAAGATGTCAGTGAATTAAAAATATATCCAAATCAAGACTCTGTTGCTCTATATGCCTAAAGCCATGAGAGCCAACTAAATACAAAAGTTTAATTTACTTAAATATTTAACAAAAATTTATTGCAAGAGATATTTTTTCACTGAATATACAGTTTCAAGGGACATGGTACAAAACATAGTGCCATCAGCTTTGTCTAAACATTAAATAGGTGCAAATACACAAAGATTAAAAAAAACAAGGAGCATACTTTACAACATAAATTAAGTACTATAAATATATTTTATGTACATTATACATACTCTTAAGACATCATTTTGATATATAGCATATATTATATTGATATTCAAACTATTCAGTGCCTTAATAATATTATATATCAGAAACTTAAGAATTTATTTGCATCATTACACTTACAGTAAATGATTTCATATCAATGAGGCCATATTTTTGGCCACTTTATTTCCACCATTTAAATAGGCAATTATCCAATTAGATGAGCATTGATGCATATAGCAATAGTTTTCACATGAATATTTTCTTCCTCTCACATAGTGATGACTAGAAGAGGGGTTGCAGTGGGATGACAGTAGGGTGTGGGGAAAGCAGTGAAGGAAAGAGGGTGTGAGGTAAAGGTGGGAAAGCCAGATGACTGGGATGTAAAACAGATGCTGGAATAATTGGCATCTGAGGAGGAGCAACGAAAGTTGGCTGATTCCCAGGGCAAAGCCTTGGTCCTACTGAGATCTGAGGTAACGATGTTCTGGTGAGAGCTGGGACTTGGGACAGAAACTGTTGCTGTGGTTGAAGCACTTTAAAGGTACCTGCAGCTGCAGCGGCTGCAGCGGCTGCAGCGGCTGCAGCGTGCTGCTGCAAAACAGTATGATGGATTGTGGTTACAGAGGTAGAGCATAAGGGCTGCTGCAAAGGCAAAGGCTGCAGAGGTGTGGGAGGGGGTGGGAGAGCAGCTGGAGGAAAGCTAAATTTGACCTTGTTGGCCAGTACGTTTGGTGGTAGGATGTGCTGGTAGACCTCACATGGCAGGTTTTTGAATTTGTCATGGTTTTCTATTGGAATTAATAATGTTTGTTCTGGCAAAGCTAATGGAGCCAAGATTTGCTCTGCTGCTACAAAAGCATGGCCACTGACGTGTGCTTCTTTGAATGGTAATGGTGGTTGTGTGTTAAGGATTCCTGAATTAAAACGCAGCCACTCAGCTGTTGCCTCAGTCATCTTCCCTTGCGGAAGGGCCTCAGCCAGCTCATAATGGCAAAGGTATGATTTCGGTTGTGACTGTCTAAAGTTCCTTTCAATATTAGGCACCTTGAAAGGAATTTGTTTGTCATTAATGTTTGCATCCCCACTTCTTTCTTTGTGTTTGAGCACGGTGTTGTCGATTTCTTCTTTTGCTGGGGCACTAGCTACATAGACAGATATGGTGGGTTCATGGGAAGTCTCTGACAGTTTAGGAGACCTGGTCTCCACTAAATGCTCAGTTTCACAATTAGTATCAGAAGGAAGGGGATTGGTCAGTTGCAAATTCAGTATGTCTTCTACGTGATCAGTTTTTTCTGAGTTCTTTTCCACACTTGCAAGCTCTTGTGATTTCGTTTCCTCTCTTCTGTCCTCATTTATCAAGTCATCTTGATGACCTAAGGAAGGATTGCGTTTCACAGGACAATCTGTATTTTCTTTGAGTTCTAGCACTGTAAGCCCAGTGTGGAATCTGCTTCTTTTTCTCCTCCGTTTCCTTTTTGGTTTACAAGGGGCAATTGAACCACGTGGTGGCCTTAAAAATTCCTCTGGGGAATAAGTCTGTTGATTTAAACTTTCATCTGAAGAATAACAATGAGATTGCTGTCGTCGCTTTCGATGGAGTCTTTCTGATTCATTAATGAAAGAACTAGAACCTCTTTTAACAGCCTGGTTCTGACTCATGCATGTCACATCATTTTGAAGAACTAGACATCTGTGATCTGGACTACAGCTGGGCCTTTTGGCTTTCCAGCTACAGCTAGTTCTGGAATCTGTTAAATTTTGCTTCTCAGAATGTACCCTTGCTGGATTGCCATGTCCATCTAAAACAAATGTGTTATTTTTACATCGGTCTTTAGAACTCATAGACTCATTATTATTGTATTTAATATTCCAGGTTTTACACATTTCTTCATTTTCACTTAAGTGTATGGATGCTGATTTAAGCTTTTTATCAGTCGATTGATGTGGATCTAATAATTGCTCTGTAGCTAAATACTGCTTTTCTGAAATTGTTTCTAGCAGATTTTTCCTACTTGTGCCACTATTTTCCACTACCATTTTTGAGTGAGTTTCTGATTCTTTGGTTTTCTCCCCATGATGATATTGACATAGTTTTCTTCTTCTTTTCTTTCTTCTGCTTTTATGAAACCAATGTTCATGTGTATCTTTCAACCTTATTTTGTTGTATTTCTCATCTAGTGTGTCCTGTTTCACTTGATTTTTAGTAAAACTGTGTTTCTTTGTTTTCCTGATCCTATAGTAGGTATTTTTAGACCTCTGACCCATATGCTCACCTTTTCCAGAATCACAACTATTAGAGAAATTAGCTACAAGAGGACTCATGTGAGTGTCTTCATTTCTTCCACCTCCAGTTTCACTATCTAGGGGTCCTGTGATAGATGTGTCTTTGCAATCTGAAACTGACGTCTTGAAAATATCTTTTGCCTTCTGCTCAGAATAAAGATCATTTGCAGATAATTTATTTTTATCTGTGTTGTTGTTTAATTTAGTAGCCTTGAAGTCAAAACAGAGAGGATTACAACTATAAGAAATTGATGGTTGAGTAGTTGTGTAAGTCAGCATTTCCGATGGCCACTGAAGAACTGTGGAGCCATCTTTGGTAAATACAGGTGCAAAAGGTTCACATGGTCTTTTATATACATCTGGTTTTTCATGTAAAATTGCTTTATCCTCTTCGATATTTGAAGGGACCATCATCTCAAGATTTTTATTTTCAGTTTCAACTGTGGGTGTGTCCTTGTCATTAGCATTTTCCTCTGTGGTACCTTGTAAAGATATGGAGCTATTAGGCATATCAATAATTGTGTCTTTATTTCCTAACAACTCAGAATTGTTACCACTCAAAGGAATGTCTTCTTTAACATTAGCATCTTCTAGTAGCATTTGATCTGGAAGTAGAACTGAACTTTGACTATTATCTGCATCAGAAGATAAAGAGACTTGAAATTGACAAAATGAAGGTAAGAAAAATGTATCTTTTTCATTGGAACTGTCTTTCATTTCTTGAGTTGGAGCAGTGTCTCTGTCAGTGCACATTCCCTCTGGTGGACGAAAAGAATTAGCTTTCTCCTCAGAACTCAAAAGCACATCTGTTGGTGAAGATAGTTGAAGATGACAAGCACCGGGAACAAATCTACTTTTTCTGTTAAATCCTTTTTCCACAGAGGCATCATCATTGTATTCAGAGAAGGCAGCAGCTGAAGACTCCAGCTTCACAGATGCTTTCTTTGGAAATGCAAACGAAAAGCCAGTTTTGTGTTTATGAATTCCCTGTGCTTGATCTCCAAGTTGGTTATTTTTTGCTGCATAATTATTTGTACTTTCGGGATCTACAATAACCTTGGTAACATCTTTACAATTCTCTTCACTATGAGTCAAAGTACACTTGAAATCTTCCTGGTTATTAACTGAATCCACAACAAATCTTTGGGAAATTTCACCACAATTTTCTCTCACAGTAACAGTTGTTGACTTGAACATGGGGCCACTTCCAGGGGCACTACAAAAGGAAACATGCATGTATATTAGATAGTTCACTTAAGACACAAAATTTTCAAATATGTCTTAGAAATGTCATTGTTGGCGCTCCCTGGTGGCTCAAAGGGTTGGAGCAGAACTCTTTGAAGCTATCACAGCCACTGTGGCAAGAATTCAATACCCTCTAGGGAGATGACCCACATGGTGCTGCAGATCGCTCTTAAGCAGCCTGCTGCTCCCCTCAGCAGCATATTTCAGTCCATCTGCCTGCTCTGCTCCTCACTCTGTCTCTGATGAAGGCTCTAACCCCCCACACCTCTGGCCTGTACCCCAGTCCTGTGTACATATATAACTAAAATCTTTTTTTTAAAAAAAGAAATGTCATTATAGGATATTTTCAGATATTTAAATCTTGGTAAGAAATTTGCTTTAATATGATTTAATAGACTTCCAAACACAATTTCATTTAGTTATTATTTTGGGACAACTGTGGTACAGTGTTGAAGTTACTTTTATAGCTACAACAACAATTTGAGGGTAATCCTATGCTCTCAACCAGTGATACCTCTTCTAGATTTTTTTTTTTTAGCCACCATTGCCTTTTTGGGAGTATTGTGGAATTATCTACAATAAAAATAAAAATAATGTTACTTTAATTCATAAATATGATCACTAATATCATGTGAAGGTTATGAAGGAAGTCCTTAGTCATGACTTAAGAAGGGCTGGAAATTCCATTTAACAATTCAGATCAACCAGTGTTCATTAAAAGTCTACCTCAGGTCAAGCAGTATGCTGTGATGCAGAAATTATTCAGATGTAATAGTAGTTTGATGATAGCTTGGAGTCTTTGAAATTGCGATTCTTATACTTAAAAATTATTATAAATTATAACTTAAAATTTAACATGTTATTTCTTTTTATATGGCATTATATTACTGCTTTCTATTTTGCGCTTCTGTAGAGGCACAGAGTTAATAGGAAAGTCATGCATGTGCAGGTATTATGTGAAATCTACACTATGTAAACTAAATAATAGTGTTTTTTTTGCACATGACTTATAATAGCTCTATTTTTCTTATTAATTCAAAATTTATGTTTACAAATGATAACATTCATTAAATTAGCTTTTTGAATTTCTATAGCATAAATTTTCACATCTATAATATTTCAATTACTGCCAGATAGAGTAAAATTTATTTGATATAACTTAATAGTGGTTCTGTTTGATTTTTTAACAGTTCCCTATTAGATTTTAAATGCATTTAAATCTATATTGATTTTTCCAAATCTAACAATACAATGTTTGATATATCAGTATTTCTCCAATGCTGTTGACAATTGTGTCAAATCTACACAATAGATTTTATATAAAACAGTTCTGTTTAAGACAGTCATGAAAGAGATTATTTATTGTGTGGGGAGACTCTAAAAGATTTTTTCCCCCATGACATTGCTCTAGCTTTAATTTTAAGTTCAGAATTGTAACATTATAGATCCTCTCTGGTAGAAGCAAATCAAAATGTGAGAGTGCGACCTTTTTACAGTCTATTTATAGTTTATTCATAGTGAAACCAGTTTTGACCTTTCCCTAAAACGTATAAGGTCTTCCTGATCTTTTTAAAAGAATAACTTCATGTGAAAGCCCTCTGAATTTTTAATTAAAACAGTAAGTTCCTATAAATTTCCATTTATGACAAAGGTCATGAGATGGTGCTCTATGGTCTCTTTTTTCAAATATTTGAATTTCAACCAAGAAGATAATAATTTTCAACTAGGATAGCTTAAATAGAGGAATAATGTGAAATTTATTTTTAAACTGAAATTATAGCAATTTTGGCTTTGTATTGAAATGTGCATTAAACAGGTGTTTGCCTAAAATTCAAATTCAAATTACCGTTTTTACAACTCACAGAAAAATCATGAAAATGTGAGCATCTCATTCTGGGTACAGGAATGAATACATTCTTGTCCTTTATTTGTAAAAATCTTTGCTTAATGGCCATTTATTTTAAGAAAACTTAAACATTTCATTGTATACTCACCACACAGTTTCCTTTCTTAGTTCAGCCAGCTTGTGCAGGCGTTGGAGAGCCTTTTCCTGCTTTCTTTCATCCTTCCTGGATTTAGATGCTACATTTCGAGCAAATTCCCTTTGTTTCAGCTCTTTGAGCCTCTGTTAAAAAATATGGAAATGATTAATAGTTTTGGGTCAATGGTAATTTCAAAGTTATTATTTCTGGAATTTTCCAATCCATCATCTTTGACCTCATCTAAAGGAAAATTCAACAACTATGGCAATCCACTTTTAACAAACCATTTTCTTGAACATTTTAGCTTGTGAAAATGCTGAGATACATCATTACAGTATATCAAAATATGCACTTATGCCATCGGTAAACTAGAATTGAAAACTTTTATTTTTTCTTATCGATTGTCTCCTGCTAAGTTCTCTGCCTTATTTGGGGGAAAATGTGGTGTTTTATAAACCCTAATTTTCAAACAAACTTAATCAGATTTCAATTTTCAGTTATATATAATACATTTTATCATTTTTAAAAAGATTTCTTTATTTATGCATACAAAGCTGGGGTACAGGCCAGAGGTTCAAGGGGGGTGAGAGGATTCACCAGACAGAGTGGGGAGCAGAACAGGCAGACTGATGAAGTACACTTCTGAGGGGAGTAGCGGGTGGGTCAGGAGAGGTCTGCCATGCCATGTGGTCACCTCCAAGCCCTCCACTAACATGACTTAGGCAATCCTTCCCCTCAAATATTAGGCACATTTCCCATGTAAGTCAAAATTTGGGAAGAATAACCTATTCTTGTGCAAATTCTTTTTACATTGAGCATATTATTCATCTGTATTAAAGGAGCTTACAATCTGGGTTGAGGCTCAGAAAAAGAACATGTCAACTGGAATAGAACTGATAAGTTCTCATGTGTGTAACATGCTTTTATGAACATGAAGGTGGTCCCATACCACAAATATTTTCACTTGAGCTTTAACAAACACAATGCAGAGTTATTAAAAATTATTGTTTTTCTCCTGGTGAATCAAGTTGCTATGCAATTGTGATATGTCAGAACACAGCCCAATGAGAATATAAATATATATCAACCACACTTTTATAGGAATTGAACATAATCTTAATAAGTACCTTTTACACTGATGTATGCCAAGGACTTAGAATAATGCCTGGTATATAAAATACTTACTCTGGGCCTCCCTGGTGGGACTAAAGTCAGTGCTATCAAGCTATGGACAGCAACATTGGTTCAATTCCTGGCCAGGGAGGTAACCAACTTATGATATGGCAGACCTCTCCTGTGTTGCTCCTTTAGCAGTGTATTTTAGTAGATCCAACTGTCCTGCTCCCCACTCTGTCTCTGGTGAATCTTTCCACCTCTTGCATCTCTGGCTTTACC